CCCAGATCCAGCATTCGCTCTACGCAAGCGAAGACCGTCGGTTCAGTGGTCGTAGCCACTCGAACCGGAAGCCCTGCGGTATTTAGAACATGACACTTGGTGGCGTTTAGCTCCAGGTCCCAGTTCTGTGTCCACCCGACCATCTTAGCCAGATCACCCTCAAGTTGATCTACAGGTCCTGAGTTTGCCAGTTTTACGTCGTCGTCAAAAATGAAGGCAGGAACCACTAGCTCCTGGACCAAGTCATTTATAAACGGGAGAAGGAGCATTGGGCCTAGTACTGAGCCCTGAGGCACTCCGCTGGATACGCTGCCAACATTGAACAGAGGTTCTCCCAACCAAACTCTACAGATCCGGTTTGTGAGGGAAGCTTCTATTCATGTAAATAGAGCTGTTGGAAGAACAAATACCCTGAGTTTTATTAGCAGGAGCCGGTGATTTACCGAGTCGAAAGCTTTCCAGATATCCCGGTAGAACAGTGCGACTTTCTGACCTCCATCTAACCACTTTGTAACTTCTAAGAAACAAAGAAGGTTGCTCAGACACAATATCTTTTTGAGAAAGCCGTGCTGGACAAGCCTAATCAACCTATATCGAGTGACGTGTTCACAGAGAGCGTTCCTAACAATGGTTTCTAAGGCCTTACATAGCACACCGGTTAAACTTACGGTTTTGTAGTTACCAGGTTACTTATTTTCTCCACTGTTGTAAATAGCTACCACTACGGCAATCGCATTAAGTTGAATGGTGCGGAGGCAGGTGCTTCCAGGTCAGATCAGGGTGCAGGTTAGGTTGCACAGGACGGTAAATGCTTTCACCAACCGAGTGTACAGATTACTGCTTTAAACAGAACTACGTTTTTCCAAAGGTTGGACGTCTTGACAACCGTCTAACCACAGCCGATTTTTTCGTTCGGTAAAGCATCCATTTATTGAGTTTGTATCTAAAAAGAGGTTGTTCGAAAATAGGCAGCATGGAAAAGCTACTATCAATAGTAGGCACCCCACAAAATCTCTGGATAGAGGCTGATCCAGAAATCATCCAGTTGCATTTGAGCCCATTAACTATCCTACATTATGGCAGTTGAATCCATTCATCTATAATTAACTCATAAAGCCGTTGAACCTGCGGCAATCGCCCAATCAATAGGCGTTATCCCAGCCCTTAGGGACTCCTGGTAGAGTGCGGTTATCGCAACGGCGAGCACAGGAGCTGGTGGTCTGATGACAGCCGAATGTAGCCCGTCGCTGCCGGCGGACTTGTTTATATTCAAGCCTTCCAGGACATCAAGAACACTATTAGCCGAGACTTCCACATCGCCCATTGGAGGGGTGTCTAAATATTTTCGTGGGACCGCAGGCCCGTCGTCTATTTTATAGACGTTTCTAAAATGCCTTCTGAGCGTCTCACATTTTTCGTAATCTGAGACAGACAACCCACCTCAGGGGTTCCCCAAAGTGCCTACCGATTGTGTTATTGCACTCTTCGATTGGACATAGCCATAGTACCTCTTGGATTACTGGCGCGCTCTATTGGCGATTGCGTTTTGTATATATCACCCGAAGGGTGCAAGGTGTATGCCTCTCCGTCAGCTCTAAGAGCTGGTCGCAAATTATCTCCCATCGTTCAGTTCTCACAGCCCGTGAAGACGTGTCTAAGTTTGAGTCGGCTCCTGGGCTTCATTAGCTTCACATAATGCGCCTTGTTGATTCGAGCGATGCTCGAGTAAACAGGCTGTCCTCCTCTAGCCCAGTCAGCCTCTTCATTATTTTGAAGGTCTCAATAATGTCACCACTCAACCCTAGGGATTCTAACCTTCCGTATATGACTTACCCCTCATTCCCGCAATTATCCTAGCAGCTAACCGTTGGACCCCCTCAATGCAATTATTATCCTTCTTCAAGTAAGGCGCCCAAGCCTGCACGCAGTATTCCAACTGTGGTCTAACTATGGCCTTATATAGAGGTACAAAAACTTCAGCCTTCCTTGACGACAGGGCCGCCTTATGCTGGAACAATGGCCGCCTCGCTTTTTGTGCGGCGGGCAGGCATTGATCACTGGGCCCAAAGTCCTCGCGGACCAAAATTCCCAGATCCAGCATTCGCTCTACGCAAGCGAAGACCGTCGGTTCAGTGGTCGTAGCCACTCGAACCGGAAGCTCTACGGTATTTAGAACGAAAGAAAATTAAAGCCAAATAAGAATCAATAGAACGCAAGCTAATGGAAACATTTTGATCTGAGCATGAGAAGAAAAAACGTATGGATATACAGGTCGTATTGGCACAAACATGATCAACGAGATACAGTCAGGTTACAGTGTATCCGTATCGTCGTGATTTTGAGAGATCAACGGCCAAACAAACAAACTGCCATCCATGCCGCAGGTGTAGAGTTCCTTGTTGCGCCGGTTCCATACACAGGAACGAATCTGACAGGGAAGGAAGAGGAGTACATGACACGAGACTCTTCAGAAAATATCGCCATTCTGTAGTTCTAACAGCAAAACGTCATATGTACTTTGGGGCGTAACGCAATTGTTTAACGACGGGTAGCAAAAAACCTCATGGTCCGCCAAAGCATTTATCCACGAACAATATTAAGCTCAGAATAGGTAACCACACTGCGGTTCAAGGTGGTGTGAATAAATATGTATTAAAAAATCTAGTTAGTACTAACCGTGTGTGTGATGCACATAATTGGTTACATGCGACTGATTCCGTCACTACACCCGCTGAGTGACAAATTAACCTTGATCGAATTCTGCGATGATTTCACGACGTACTCATATTCCACTTGTCCTTATTAGACAATTTACACACTGAGACACCCTTTGTGATAACATCAAGCCAAATGGAACGCAGTCATCACGAGTTCCATTCAAAGAACGCATTCCGGTACAGGCTAGGCCAATCAGATTCAACATGCCGCATCGATATAGGCGGATTCGCCCCGTCTTCCCGTGGCGCATACCAGAAAACAACCGCTCTGGCGGATCATGCAGAACTTATAACCGACCTGGAATGAGCAATAAACGAAATTTCAGTATCGCATCACTTACGTACAAGTAGAATTTGCATGCTCTGCCTGGTGGACAGTTGCAGTNAGTTCTCATAAATCAGCAAAACGGAAATGCTAATTAGTTTACGGAAGTTTACTTCACATAGATGACTGAACAACGCCATGAAAAGGTGATATCGCAAATACCCGAGTCACTTGACTGTCCACAGTGAGAACAACCGTGAATGCCGCTCGTTTTGTGGACAGTGCCTGTACCCGGAACGTTGCCAGGTATTGTGAATTTGTTTTTCACACGGTCTCCCGCAATTTTAATTGAATGACTGAATCACGCACGCCAATCCAGTCCTCGATTATATTTATTAAAGACATTGCGCTGCTTATCAATATAGTCTATGAACTATCCTTCGTGATTTGCCCAATGAAAATTACATGAGCAGAAAAATCTTTCAAATCATCAGTAGATAAGCATGTTTTTCATTTCGACTTATTGTTAAACATCACGAAACAGAGAGGTGTGTTGGGGGAAAGAGTAACTCAAATCATAGATTTTCCAAGATAATTATCTATTGATTTAGATTATTATGCGCGGACATTATCACGAATCACTAAAAACGAACCGGTTAGTCAATGTAATCCATAGGATTGTTCAATCAATGATGTTACTATACGTGCTGCAAAATAGTCCATTATTTCATTTACTTCCCGTCAGTTATCCCACGAACTGCAATCAAGCATAAGCTCACTTTTATGCGACTATGACCCGCTTGAGGATAAGTCGAGCTCTTGGAAGGTAGCTATTCATGCGTTGCTATATGCAGCAATGTCTGCACACCGGGAAATTCGGTCGTTACACGCCAGTCACGCGCTCCGGAAACCAATTGCAGACTATCTACATCTGATCTGATTGAACTAAGCCACATCCGCAGCTGGAATCTGAGATCTGTGCGATCCGGACTGTGTCAGTGGTAGAATTTCTCTCTCAACTTCTGATGTGGAGTCTATGGAGAGACAAATATAGGTTATGTATGTTTTCAAAATACGGTCAGACGTCGGATTTTGAAACATGATTTTAACAAATGGTTTTAGCTATCGCAGGCACCAATGGTTGAAACTTGTTCCCTTTTTTTCCTCCACGCTTAGTGGTCACATTTCGTAAGCATACCTGAGGACCGGCCGAAAGGCGGTTCGATAAACGCGCAACTTTGTGTGGAGGTTTATTTCACTGCACCGCCACAAATGTTTTTAAAGCAGTGGGATTGCCCTCCTTGAGCAGTCGATACGCAACTTGACTGTTTGGTTGAATTCTATGGTGTAGGAAAGTGATGTACCGACTCTCGTGCTTTACCGTTGACGTGAATGTACCGTGACGATTCTGATGACATCGTGAAGAACTGTTTTTGAGACAATTATCTATAGATCGATAACTTTGACTTCTTACTTACTTACTTTACTGCGGCTGGTTCCTTGGAAAGGATAAGCCGGCTCTAGACATGATCATGATCATGCAGTTCCTAGGGAGTTTGGTACGAGACGTCCCCAGCGTCACTCGACGTTTTTATTTTGAGGGCACAATCAAGTGCCAACTGCAAGGCATCAGGAAGTAATCCCTCGCCTCAGAAGTGAGGGGGTCAATGGCTTTAGTTTAAAAAGGCCGGTTACATCGACCTTTGTCACTACACCGTCATTGGACTTATGCGGCTTTTAAACAGGAGCCAGGTGATCAGCCTGAAACCTATCACACTCTGGTAGTGCGGCTGGTGTTTTTCGCGACTGCTTATTTATTGCGGAGTGCCACAACTTATCCACAGGTAACCTTCTTCTGTGAAGGTATCCCCCTATCCGTAACCCGGGGATGCGCCTGATAGCATTCAGCTCTGCTTAACTCGAGGGTATCCATCCTTCACATTTGATACATTCAAGTATCGGCTGCAGACTTTCGGGACCGAGTGGAATCCCTTGAAAATCGGTAGCATTACGACGTATAGCCAAGTCTATGGTGTAGTTGAACAGGATCAGGGACAGGGTTCAACCCTGGTGGACGCTACCTTAAAAGGTGACCGAAGATTGGGTACCGCCTCATTCAGTTAGCTATCAGCTCAAACACCGAAGAAGCCGATTGACCATACAGTACTTATATGTTTGAACGGCACAACAATGAACAACGTAGGTAGAAATATACAAGCATAAGCACAATGCAATGATTGTATTTTACATCATATGAAGTACCCGGTTCAACTCCGTGCGTGACGCAGTTAAAGTTTGGTTTGCTCATCGAGGCCATTTATGTGGCGTGTAAATTGAAATCCACACACTTTCCGCCCTTGTTCTACATTAGCTAACACCAGGTCTTCGAGACCACGCTTCAACCACATCTGTGTGATGCACTCTAACAATGACAATGATGTATATGGTAAGAAATGAAAACTCACTTTGGAATAGTGTCTATTCACCAGGCGAATAGGAGCTCCTTGTCGTGTGGCTTGTGCGATTAACAAACGAGATNNNATGGAACAAAAACGAACGCCGCTGGGGCACCCCAAGCGTCTCCAGACGGACAGTAAGTGGCGTCTAACCGGACAGGAGTCCTTTGTACTCTCGAACTCGCCGGCTGTGTTCGGGTGGACAGCGACTCCCGGGTTCGTGATCCTTGTTGGTCCTGCGATAAACGATTGTGAGTACGTGACGAAAACGGATCCAGTTCGGCACTATCGGCATGAACCACACCAAAGTTGACCGGTCGAAGTTGTGGACAGTGGTAATTGTGTGCGTCAGCATCCACTCTGCAAGGCAAATCACAATCACCCGGAGCGGTGGACCACATTCGCAGGCAAAGTGTGTTCTCACTGGCACCAGCACCACCCCAAGTGAACAAATGCATGCCATCTGGGGAATGTGTGAGGCCTAGTACGGGACCAGTGTGAGCAGCAGCTGTGGGAATAAAGCAAAGGAGAGGGTAGAGTGGGGGGAGGTGAAGAGGGTTGGGAAATGACTCGGAATAAATCATTTATTTATTCCAGGAATCGTTATATTTTCCGTATGAATGTATGGTTCCTATACGTGCTAGATAATTCAAGCAACCGTTGATGCTGGGGACTTCATGAACTCGATAGAACAGAGAGAAGATAAATACTACGAGATGTTAATGTCGCATTTGATCTTACAAAAGAGGCCGGATGGATACTCTGTCCCATCGTTCGGACACGAATGCCTGACGAGCGGCAAGAACCGCGAAACTGGTCGTGCGATTCCAGGGAAATTTTGTCCAGTCATTCATATACTACTTATTATGAAATATATACATATATACCACCGGCTTGCGGGAAGATATGGTGCCAANCCAACGCCACAACAATAACAGAAGACGACAAGCATGCAAGCAAACTGCTACGTCCAGCGAATATACGAAAATGAATCCAGCCCACAGAACCAACTTGGAGTAGGTGGCCCGGGGGCACTTAGAATGGCTCTATCAAATGTTGGACGCCTGCGCTGGTTGTAGATCAGCAAATTTTCTGCTTCGATATTCGTATCACCAACATCTTTTTGATTCCTACCGATGGCTCGGAATAAGCGATTTTAGAGTAAATCTTCGACACAAAAGCGTCTCTTACAGGAGTTGCCCATTCAGTCAACCAATTATAGTGATTTTCGCCTAAGCTAGTCATCAGTGCACATACCAGTTACGTTCAATTCCGGGTCGGTACTGACAGGTTTCTAAAGTCCACGACAGAAGAAAAAACCGAAGTGCAATCGGAGTTCATACAAGTGTAACCTTAACCTTCACAAGACTATATCCAGTTGAATGCAGCCCCCTACCGGGATACAGGCCACAGCACAAAGCCACAAACTGTGGAAGATGATGATCCCAGTAACGATGCGGACTTCGTCTCCCAGACCAGAGTCTGAGGTGAGCTGACGGTGTCTCGTACGGTGTAGTTATTCTAGGTGGCACCTGCAGCCTTCGCATACCCAAATACAACCTGCAATGCAAAGCCACAGGGTCAGTCCAGAGAAACCTGTGGTCAATTATGTGACTTACTAGCCGTTTAGGGAATATCATGTAGACCAGAAGGAGTACAATAGCAGCAGTGGCATTAATTAATGGCTGACAGTAATGATCAGGTGTGCTATGAAGACGGACGCGACATATTTTTTGTTTGAAGAGAACGCTGGTGAAACAAAAAGCCATCGCTGAGGGAATTGCCATTGATTGCTTGCTTTTTTGGCGAGTATAGAGTCGCTTTATTCACGACTAACCATCAGGCGGGGGCCGATCTGCCGTGCGCGGCCTGTGGAGGCACCCGCGGAGCATACAGCGATTCTTCTAGCTAAAATGGATTGAAATTTATGCCCACAACCCCGGTATTTGTGACCGATTTCACAGTGCCAATGTAAGCCAGTTTCTGACAGGGAAGTTGAGAGACACCAGGTAACATTTTGCTGATCGGAAAATTCATAAATGTCACTCCCATTGGTGAGAAAGGGTTTTCAAACAGAAAGTTCAGCTTCACGAAATAGAAACTGGTGAACGGAAGCTGTTAGCCGAAATTTCCGAAATTACTTTATCAAGTATATTTTTATAGGGTCCCCAGTAATCTTTCCAGGGATGCTCAAAAAAACTTTAAACTGCTTTCCAGATCATTAACACATTTATCTAGAAGCAGTGGGATTTCCCGTGAAACTATCTGTCACTTCATCATTTCCCAACATAAAAAGTCATGCTTTTCGTTATCAACAAAAATCATGGATAACCCTTCACATTCATTACATCAAGATCTTATCAAGTGTGTTTCCTCCTCTTCCACCCGGTCCCGTCATAAGTGTATATTTGCTCGTACGACCGCTTATCGGTCTTCTGTGGTGCCCTATCTTGCCCGATTTTTTGTCAGTGCAGAAAGCATTGCTTCGGACTTCTACTCAGTTATCTCTTAAATTGTATTCACTTTCACTGCTCACGATAATTATGTAATAATTTTGTTCGATAATTGTTAGATGACTGTGACTGCTGAATATCCACCTTTCGGGGTGCATAAAGCAAACACTTGATTTGACTTGACTAGTGCGTGAGGCAAGAACTAAATCCGCAAATCTGCGAAATTCCATATGACGTACCTTCATTCGAATAAGGGACACTATCAGGGCCAAAGTATCGATCCAAAGAGTAGACCGGTTTCCGATTGGCACGAATATCCCAGAATAGAACACGACCATCAAACCTGAATTAAGAACCAGAGAGTCAGGGTTAAACGACACATTAGACAAAATTTAACAGAGTTGATTTTCTTATAAAAAAATTCTGACTTGAGAAGAAAAAAAATGAATGTTCGGCTTATGTTCCCTTCGAAAAGTTCAGTTGAACAAGGGGGACGAGTGCATATGTTGCAAAAAGCACTACGATGCACGAAATGCTAACCGCAGCATCTGGCTGGACTCTCGCTATTCGATCTCCTCGGTATGCAGCACGATGAAAGACCATTCAGAAACGACTGAACTCGACGCTAACTTGAACCTGTATTCTGATTGGAATCAACCCTGAGGGAAAAATACAAAACGCCATAAGAGCTGTGGGTAGAACATCTCATTTTTGTCGTCAATTTCTAAAAGAAGAACGCCCATGAATCGTACGTTCCCTTTGGAATTTTGATTGTTGCTACTCCTCGAGAACAGCCGATTACAGACCAAATAAGAAGAGGCGTGCGAACCACATCCACCCACTCTTTCCTGGTTGTACTGCTTGGTGGATGCCGGATCAGTTGGGCACCTTGAGTGTTTGACCTCGTCCAAAGGGTGAATGATCCGATAAACTAGACCCCAGCCCATAATGGACTGCGGTATTCAGACACCGACCAGCTGCTTTTGGATCAGATTTTGGCTAGCTGAAGATTCCGGTCGTAAACTCCCCCAAGCAAATCCACCCACTTTGACCAGGGCAACCTATCCGTATCGTGACCTCAAGCGAAACATGGAACTTCTTTTTTCTTATTGTACTGTCGTGTATATAACTTTTGCAAGCACTGGAGTTCACGTTTCGGTTAAAAAAAATTATACACGCCAACCGCCATAATGTACATAACAAACTGAGAAAATTTCTTTTTACAGACATGGGGGCATTTCATAAACCAAGCTTAAGATAAAGTGCACTTACTGTCCGCATTTTGTGAGTAAACAAGCAAGATACGGTAGGGGTGAATTGCGGTAAGCGTTAATTCGAGATGAAATTTGGCGGAACCGGGAGCGTGTTGAATGATGGGAACAACGTGTCAGTACTGTGTGCAATGGGTGGTCAGGATTTGTAAGGATCCTCTCAGCAAAGTTCACACAGGAAGCCCATAGTACAGATTTGGCACAAAGTCTGAACACAGGCGTGTAAAAATATAAATACATAAAAACAAAACAAATAAATATGTACAAAAAATATACATTCCTCGAGAAATATATGGTTTTCAATCACGCGCAAGTTAAGCAAAGTCAGGTTTGGATGAACGCAGAGTAAGGCTGGGAATGTCTCTCATACCAAACTCCCAAGGAACTTCATGATCATGATCATGTCTGGAGCCGGCTTATCCTTTCCAAGGAACCAGCCGCAGTAAAGTAAGCATCCGTCAGCAGTTATCATATCGGACGGTCGGAATGTCGAGAACGCAATCTGATCTGTGCGTCACTGTGCCATACACGTATGCCTGATTTATCCAATATATTTGTATAACCAACTTTAACCAACTAATATACTCTGACTGTTGATCCTAGACGTGTTCTCTCTCCACATTCTTGTTCAGATGGGGGTTAACCAGGGAGTGCTCCTGTCAATCGTAGGTCTAGACTAGATCTAACTGAAAGTGAAAATAATCAACATCTGACGGCGTAACTGTTGCCTAATCATTTTGAGTTCAAACAATCATTAATGAACTGGTTATGAAGAGATAAATTACCACAGACATCACTTGATTTGAAGACTCCAGTCATGTGACATTCAAACATTCAAGTCCCTCTATTATACAACATGCAGTTGGCGGATGGTAAAGGGAGGAAATCGATTGTGAAGACGACCGGACTGATTCCTGCGTCTGCATAGTGTGCTATTAGGAAGGACAACAGCAAGGCTACCTAATTTGAAAGCCGCACGATGCTTGCAAGATTCAAACCGAAAGATTAAGGGTACAGAGCACGAGAAAAAGTTACTGTATGACTTCAAAATCACTGCCGCTTAATTTTCAGTGCGTCGCACTAGAACGCGCCGGTGACTTCGGACTTTGAGATTTTCCGATACCGAGGGTTCGCGAGACAAACAGAACGGAATCCGTCGGGACAATAACCTTTCATTCAAACCGGCATTTCGAGCCGACTTCTAAGCTACACGTTAAATTTATCAGGTCATTACACTTCAGCATCAGACCCTTTCAGGGTGCTCCGTTCAAACTTCCATTTAGTCAACCAACTAAAATTCTGAGCGTGTTTGTAACCATCTCTAGCGATCGAGTATGCACCCCAGTTCCAAGAATGTAACCAAAATCAAAATATAATCAGTATAATCGGAATTACATACAAGCTCATGCTTCACTTGTCCCCACAGGATATTTACACAATTGAATCACATTCAGTTCCAGGTAGGCTATTATAGAGAATGTAGGCTTCAATGAATTTGTGTTTGCTTTCATGGTGTAGGAATGTGAGGTGTACCAAGGTTTCATCGAGTCTCCGCTTGACAGATTCAAAAGTTGGTGCACAAACGGTGAGATGGAAGGGTGTTCCAAGTACTGCATACTCTGACTGCAAAAGATTGGCGCCGACATTCCAGTCGATAATTTGCAATCATTAACTTGAAACGGTGTTCCCTAAGGTGTACATTGTCCGATAACATGAGCAGCTGCCGACATGGATGGTTCGGGTTCTGCAATACTTGATACATCAAAATCGAATCTCCCCGAATTCAGCGGTAATGAGCAGAATATAATCTCAATGATCGTAATCTAACCTCATAGGTGAAGCAATGCAATCCCATGACCATCTTGGCGGCCAACCTTTGTGGATGATCAAGCGTCTTGCGATCACGTTGCAACCATGAGCCCCAAGCTTGGATGGCGTACTCTGTGTACGCTCGAATGCACACTGATGGCAAACGTGGTAAGTGCTGATTAAAATCGACCAAAGACTCGTCCAAATAAGCGTGCAAAGTTGTTTAGTGTCAATATTGTGATATCATTGTAGAGGCAATCTTACGCTCCATCCAACAAATCCAAATTGAGCTTTCTACGCCCAATGTAAAGTGTGCTGTATATATATTTGTGCAGCTCCCCGAATTCGATGAATCCAACTATTGAACAAATGATTTGAACGAATGGCGCTTCATTCAAGAATTGTTAGACTGCCGCATCGTCTCTATCATTGCCATTAAACGCCTTCCGTGTTCTCCCCAACTATCGCGGAGACGGCCCGCAAATACTGAAAGTAACTCTTGGGACACCAGAAATGGTAAGCACAGTTCTCCAGTCATGGCATGAACACAGAACCAAAGGACCCAAAGAAATAAGCGTAAGACCGATAGTGGATTCAGGACCGAAAAAATTGTCCATCTGTGGAAACTGTCAATCACATTGCGCGTGAAACACTACAAACTTCATGCTTTACTCCGACCCCATTAGACCAAATCCAACAAACACCTACGGCAAAAAATGTC